GTCACATGACATGTGGCGTCACAGCAGAAAAAACGTCAACAATGCAAGCAGTGTCAGCCAGTGTGTGTAGCTGAACCTTCCTGTGTGGGAGAGTTGCTGAAGAGGTCAGAAATATAACATTATTTTTGCAGTACTGCATTCATGGATACTTAAAATAAAATCTTCAAGAATCTGTAACATTAAATCTGAACTAGGTTTTGGTCAACTGACCGAGGCCTTCCGTTGGTTTTTTTTTTTTTATTCGCCGGTATTCTCCCGGCCCGGGTCTTTTCCAAGTAGTGGTGACCTGGCCTTGGCTCCCTATCTGGGGAGTATCTAGAGACCTAAGTCTCCCATGGGAGGAGGTACAAGTACCCCCTCAGCTTTGGGACCAACTGTCCCCAGGCCTAGCCACAAGCTAGGCCTCTCTGGTCTGCCATCCCCGCCACAAGGGGGTTAATGGGAATGACAGTCTCATGAGGTAAAGGCTCGGGCTCAGGCACCTACCCTACCCTAGAAGGGCTGGGCATGGTGTCGACGTCCGTTGGCTTACCGGTCCATCATTAATTTATATGTAAAATTTGTAAAAAAACAAACTTCAAATTAATTATATAATTACTTAAAAAACACACATCAAATTTTTAAAACGCTTAAAAATTACATATTACTTCAAATGTCCATTTTAATTTTAATTAAGAAAATAACTACATAAGACTTGAAATAAGTTTTTTGAAGGAGTTGGGAAAGTAAAGAACCCGAAGTGACCAGCTTTTTCCCGTCTCAGTGTGTCTTATAAAAAAGTAATGGGATAATATCTCAAAAATAAGATCCCATTACCCATGGGAACTCTGACAATCCTCTTACATCTGAGGAAAAATAATGGATGTTTTATCAGAATGTGGCCAACAATTTTGCACTAGTCTCGATGTCTATCTGTCTGGGGAGACGATGCAAGATGCTTGAACAAACAGCCTGATTGTCTAACTTAATCAACTAACTTGATCAAGTGCATTAATTGCCTTAAGTAATCTTATAAGCTAGACTCATCTTGGAAATTAGTCTAATTTGCAGACATAATCAGTGGCAACACTGAAGGTGTTACAAGAAGGTGTTTGTAGCAGTAGTTGTAGTTGTTGTAGTAGTAGTTGTTGTAGTAGCATTTGTAATAGCAGTAGTTGTTGTAGTAGAAGTTGCAGTAGTGGCAGTAGTAGTAGTGGTGGAAGACGTATAAATAGTGCCAGTTGGTAGGATACTACCACTACTACTACTACAACAACTACTACTACAACAACTACTACTACTACTACAACAACTACTACTACAACAACAACTACTACTACAACAACTACTACTACAACAACAACTACTACAACAACAACAACTAAATACAAACAACAACTAAATACAACAACAACAAATACTTAAAACAACAATAACTAACTACAACAACAATTTCTACCTACTACAAACAAAACAACTACTACTACAACAAACTAACTAATACAAACAACAACTACTACTACAACAAAAAACTACTACAACAACAACTACTACTACAAACAACTACTACAACAACAACTACTACTACAACAACAACTACTACTACAACAACAACTACTACTACAACAACAACTACTACTACAACAACTACTACTACAACAACAACTACTACTACAACAACTACTACTACAACAACTACTACTACAACAACAACTACTTCTACAACAACAACTACTACTACAACAACAACAACTACTACTAAAAACAACAACTACTACAACAACAACAATACTACAACAACAATACTACATACAACAACTACTACTAACAACAAACAACAACTACTACAACAACAACTACTTCTACAACAACAATACTACTACAACAACAACTACTACTACACCCAAAAACTACTACCAACAAACAACTACTACTAACAACAACAATACTCTACTACAAAAAAACTACTACTACTACAACAACTACTACTAAACAACAACAACTACTACAACAAACAACTACTTCTACAACAACAACTACTACTACAACAACAACTACTTACTACAACAACTACTACTACAACAACTACTACTACAACAACAAATACTACAAAAACAACTACTACTACTATACAACAACTACTACTACAACAAAAAAACAAACAACTACTAACACAACAACTATACTACAAAAAAACTACTACAACAACAACTACTACAACAACAACAAATACTACAACAACAACTACTACTAAACAACAAATACTACTACAACAACAACTACTACTACAACACTACTACAACAACAACAACTACTACTACAACAACTACTACTACAACAACAACTACTACTAAAACAACAACTACTACTACAACAACAACTACTACTACAACAACAACTACTACTACAACAACAACAAACAACAACAACAACAACTACTACAACAACAACTACAACAACAACAACTACAACAACAACTACTCAACAACTACTACAACAACAACAACTACTACAACAACAA